CTCCCTGCAGGCTCATTCACCGGCCCTGCCCGTGCCCCATCCTGCCTCCCTGGCCCATCACATCCCCACCATGGTGCTGTGAAGCCCCAGCGCGGCAGCGGGTTTTGGGACAGCAAAGACTGGCGCTGAGACATGCAATGAACAGGGGGGTGTTGGCCCTTGGCAGAGCTGGGGGGCAGAGGCACGGCTGCTTTGTGTGTTGAAGGGGGGATGCTGGTTTATTTTTGGGCATCGCTGTTTGCATGGGGTTTGGGAGGCTGTTCGGTGAGCGAAGGGATCCCCCCAGCTCTGCAAGCCACTGCTGCAGCCGCATCGTGCTGGATCCTCTCCGGGGAGATGCAGTGTAGGGTGGGCTGCTGGTCCCTGGGTTTGGCAGAGGGAGACGGGCGAAGGGACACAGCGGGATGTCCTGCGTGGATTTGCCGGTGCACTCAGGGAGGGCTGGGGCAGCCTAAAAACTGGGCCTGGATGAGTCATGCCTGGGTTTTATAGATAATTTCATGGGTAGAAAAATTGCTCTTATCCTTCCTTCTCTGCTCCAGCGAGTGTCCGGCAGAGCCACACGCCCCGTTGAAAGGCTGGTACAGCCCTGTTGCGGCCTGTTTGTCCCAGGGGCAGCTTTGGCCCTGGTGTCTCTTTCCAAGGGACATATTTCCCTCCTCGGGAACCCTGATTTAGCAAATGCTCGCGTTTTCCCCCCGCCCCAAATCCCCTTGCCTGCCCTCCTCCAGCCCAAGCTATGCGTTGGGCTTTGCCCGACGCCTCCGAGCGATGCCATGGGCAGAGGGGACAGGCCTCGTGCTACAGGGACACCCCCAGCACAACGTGCCAGCTGGAAATGCCCATCCACAGGCAGGTTTTGCGGGGGACCCTGTGCTCTGCCGGGTTGTGCTTGCTCCAGCCCCGGGAGCATCGCTCCCCATCGCTGCCCGCAGCTGTGAGGGAACATCTCGGCTGTTACTTCGACTGCCCTCTGGGGACAGAGAAAACCCGTCCCTGGGCCAGCTCTGTCCCCAAGGACAATTCTAAGCGCCCTCTGGAGTCCTGCCACAAGTGAGAGGAGGGCTGTGTATCATAAAGCTTAAAATAAGGTATTCTAATATTAATTATAAGTCTAAGATGTATAAAGTTCTCACAAACTGTGTTTTACTTCCAGAAAAAAACAGTCACTTTAACTTTGTAAATATTTATGTAAACATTATTTACAAAACTTTGATATTATATATTATTTGATTGTATATGTACACAGTGTAAATACATTTGTACCTCTCTCTTGTATTCTAAATAAAAATTACTTGGAACATTTATCATTTAGAAGATGGGTAGTTTGGAGAGCTTTATTTTGCTCTGTGCCGGGGGAAGGATGTAGCAGTTGGCATGAGTAAATGTTTAGACTAGCACAAGGTGAATAAGGAGACGTAGCATCGTCTGTTGGACCAAATAGTGCAGTTGAGAAGAGGAAAGATCAGCTTTGGGCCACAGAAGCCCTTTTGTAGGTCTGAAAGAGAAGGGGCGAGTGCTGGCTACCTAGGGAGCGGGTGGTATTATTTGGTCCGGTACCTTCCTGTCTATTTGAAGCAACAGCTGTTGATATCCTTTGATATCTTCCAAAAATTAATGGTCATATTTCACCTGTGATGGGCTACAGGTGCAAGTCTTGCTTGAAAGAATAAAGTTTGATTTTGGCCCCGAGGAAGCAAAGCATTTGCTGAAGGTCATCGCTGGCTTCTTTTTCCTTGGTATTTTCTCAGCAGCTCTGAGAGTCTATCTAGTGTTTGAATTAAATGAATAAAACTTCCACACAAATGTACTATTTACCGTTGGAACAGCTTTGCCAGGGGAAGGGGCAAATTCCTCATCCCTTGGAGATGTTCAAGCCAAGCCGGAACACCTTCCTGGCGAACGCCTT